CTTGTACTTGGTTTTCAGCAGGTGATCTCTCTAAATCATTTGTTACCTCTGTACGTTCAGACTGAGTGATCTTGACATGTTTATCACTCATTATTATCGATAGTTTTCTAAATCACTTGTTCCTTCCATACATTCAGGTAGAGTGATTCAGACATGTTTATCACTAACTGTTGTCCGTATTCGTCTAAAGCCAACGTTAGATTCTGCTTTGTTATTTTCAAAGAAAAGATTGAAATAAAGTAACAAACTGAAGTATTTTAGGCTTTGTTTAATATGTAAAAATATTTTTTAATTTTCATTTTCAAAATATATATTAGATGAAAATTAATAAATTGTTTGTAAAATGTTGAAAATATGACATTAGTATGAAAAGAATAAAAAATTGGTTTTAACATTTTCTGGAAAACACTGTTTTTAGTTGAGTATCACATATATAAATATAACTATATGTTTTATGCATAGATATATTGATTTATAAAATGAAAATTAAAATGTTTTTATAAATTAAACATGACTTTGCATAAGAAATTTGTAAATAAGTAAATAAGAACATTTTTTATTTTAAAAGATCATCTAACCCCTAATCTACTGTTAGATTGTTGTTTCCTATCCTCCATTAATACTTTCAGTACTATTCATTGCCTTGTGAACAACTTTCACAAGTCTTCTGGCAACATTTCCTGCAACAACCATATGCAACTCATGAGATTAATCATGGGAAAATCTTTTATATTTACAATACCCCCCATTTTCCGGAACCGAAAGAGTAGGATTTAGGCTATCACAAACCATGCCAATAGTTGAAGAGAAATGGTTCTATTTCGTTCATGTTACGCAGAAAATCTTGTACCCCATATCTTATATTTTCTTAAAAATCTTGCACCTTTCTGACATTCACCTGATGTTATACAGGTATAACTTTTCTCAGATGGTCTTTGAAGAAACTGTAAATATGCCCATCATTTTTCCATTATCTGCTTGATGTTTGGCTAGTATTTCCTTAATCATTGAATAATAATCGACTCTGTGTTTGGCTAGTATTTCCTTAATCATTGAATAATAATCGACTCTGTGTTTGGCTATCTTATATGCTTTTTTTTTTTTGCTTGACTTAATGGAATGAGATGTCTCTGTATTATCCGTACACATTTCTACATTTCCTCACCACTTCTGAGATTATCATGATGTTACTTTTCTTTTTCCCGAACATTTGGGAATTTTCCTTATATGACCTCTCATTTTCTGTCTTTTGTTTTTTCCCTTACACACCATTTTCATGTTCTTTTTTTGTATTCACTTGCCCTAGTTTGATTGTCTTTATTGCTAATGCTATGTGTTCAAATTGTAGGAGAACCGTTATGCGATAGTGGATGTATGCTACCCCCAGGCTGTGAGTAACAATGTTAAAGTATCTGAGGATTTTGCAGCAAAATGCCTGATTATTTTGGATTCTATCTTACTAAGTTCCTGAAGAGTCAAGGTTTTTTTTGCAGCCTGCTGGTTTTATCCGCGAACAGAGTAATATTGTTGCTAGACAGGTTACTTTCTCATGTTTATTTTGTATGTATGTATTTCTACAGCGATTGCTTTCTCATGCTTATTTTGTTTGTTATACTCCATAATCATGTATGTAGTTTGACATGAATATTTTATTACCTTTGATGTTGGTTAAGATCTAAGTCATAAACCAGTTTGTTAGCAGTCTTATGCTATTCAAAACTATCCTCCCATAGGTACTCCTGAAATCTTGAGGCTAGAAGGTATAGTCATAGATTGTTGAAATCTATTTTTTTTTTTTCATTTTTATTTCAAAAAAAAGAAATCTATTTTTTCCCTGAGTTTTTTACATGTAAAGTTTAATAATCATCACAGAGTCAATGATTTGTTTAGATAAAAAACCCCTGTATATTACGTATATGACACCAAAGGGGTGTTGCTCCTATTCGAAGAATTTACAAATCGGTTGGAGCATCAATAACCCTCCCAAGAAAAAAATTGCTGCACCTCACCTTTAATGCAAGTAGAAAATTTTATGTCAAAAACAGTGTTGTAGATACCTTCCAAAACCTAATGAGTATGAAGTCAATGAGCACCTAAGAAGTTCAATACTCCAATCTTGGTTATGCGCAATTACATGTATCTCTATGAAAATCTGTTTGCAAGATGACTCTGAATTAAAATTTGATGTTTTTAAAGAAAACCTTGTTTTTACATGTTAGACTGACTGGCATTTATTTGGATGTGAAGTAGATTATAGAGGCATTAACTCAATGTCTGTTTATGAGGTTTAGACTTTCGATTAATTGTGGTGATTGCTCAATCTTGGTTCTACTACAATTCCCATCTTATAATGGCCTTTATTTTTACATTTTGCAGTTGCTCCGTCTCCGACGTCCTTTCATTTCTTATGTAACTGATGCTACGGGTGCTGAGCTCTTTAGGGTGAGGACTTGATAAAGGTTTCTCCTCTATGTAGAAAGCTGTTTGGCTCTTAAAGTTCTAAACGTACAGTTCTCAGTTTGAAGCTTTTCTTTGCTACATTCAGGTTCGTAGACCTTTTTGGTGGTTAACCAGCTCAATTTATGCTGAGGTTGATGGTAAGGTATGCAAAGTTGACATTTGCTTGTTGTCATTACAAAAATGCAATTTTTTATGATCAATAATGCAAGAAATTTCAGCAGGTGGTTTGATGTTCATTTAAGATTTTCATTGTTTTGTGTAGGAAGTTGGTGTTGTTCATAGACGATGGCATCTTTGGAAGAGGATCTATGATTTGTACCTGGGGTAATGTTTTTAAACATTTTATTTTACAAATCATATTTAAGTATTTAATAATTAGTTATGCAACTGAATAAAGTACTTAATATTTTTAAACCCTAAATCCTAAATTGTAAATCTTTATTACTTGAAGGCTTGGGCTACAAGCAAGTGGTTTTAAACAAAAGAAAAGTAGTAAAAATGTTAAACTTTTTGTTAAACACCACCCTATCATGCCCTATTCGAAGGCCCTCATTACGCCTCTCTCCTTGTCACGGGACAATATACAACTCAAGACATCCACCACAAATGTGAAGAAAAAAAAAAAGAAAAGAGTGATTACCCTCCTAACCATGCTACCCCGAAAACCAAAATCTAGGTTTGCCATGCACGAAGACAACAAAAGGAAAAGAAGCATTACTTATAGGAAATTTATGTTTTACGGATTCACAATTGAAAATGGACGGTGTCCAAATCTTTTGTGATGAAGCCAAATTTTATCGGTAGTGTTACTAAACAGAAGGGAGAGAGGTAATGCAGGTGCCTCCAAGAAGTATAACTTGTTCCTTGCTTTCGCATATCTAATCATTGTCTCTAAGTAATAGCCCAGAAATACACTGTGGGAATGAGAGAAAGTCGCTTTGCAATTTAAATCATGAGACAACTCAGTTATTGATACAATATTAATGCATAGCTTTGGGACATGAAGGATATCCTTAAGAGTAAAACTCGGGCTAATCTTGATACTACTAACTCCTATTACGGTGGTTAATGAATCACTTGCAAAGTTATTTTTTTGTTACTTGGACAAGGAACATATGTACCAAAATGGTCTGAGTAATTCATATGATATGTAGCTCTTGAGTTTATAATCGATGAATGTGCAAAAGTTCTGTTTGAGAAACTTAAACCATATGAAATAGGAAACTCCCTGAATATACCAATAGACTTACCTGTGGGTTTTTGCTGGATATTTGAGGCGAGTTCTCAGCATTTATATTTCTTCTTTGAACTCTCTGTATTCTGAAGCCTTTTGTTTCTTTTGTTAACTCGTTAAATAGGTCTATCCCTGAGTTCTTTGGAAGATACTTTTGTACCTTCACACTTTGCTAGACATAAGAGGCTTTTTATATAATTTCTAGCACTTTTCTTTGGTATGACTTGATTTTTTGCAGAAGGTGTACTATAAGTTGTCTTGATTATCTCCACTTGTTTTGGTTGCCACAATATGGCCATGCTCCTTATTTGCCTACCAGTGAATTTTTGGTCTGCTAGTCAACATTGCTGAGGCCTCAGTTGATTGGGGTTCCAGTATTATCCCCTTCTTCTACTTTCATCTGCCACAATAATATAGATTACCTTATTCAGGGAGGGTAATTCTTCCTTGCCTGAAATTTGAACCCTAACTTGGTCAAATTCCACAATAAGACCTGCGAGAAAATTATAGATTCTATCTTGAATTTTAGTGTATCACTGTATTTCATCTCTATACGGCGATAGTGATCTAGCTCCTGCCATAACCCTTTCAAAAGATTAGCATACTCGATAACTGACATGCTTCCTTTTGGTAGAAGTAGTCTCCACTTTGAAGTTTATAGATTTGAGCAGCATCACAGACTTTGGAGTAGGTCTGTCTAACAGCATCCCAGATGTATTTGGCACTAGGAGGAACATGCAAGTATTACTGATTTCTAGTAATATCAACTTCAAGAGTCGGGCCATGATTGTAGAATCCTTCTCATCTCATGCATCAAATCTTGGGTTTCCTAGTTTTGCCCTGTTCTGAAAAGGTGGTTGATTTTTCCTTCCCCTTTTAGAAACACTTGGACCTGATGTCAGAAACAGTGTCCTACAAAAGCTGTTTTAGGCTGATGCATTGTGGGATACCAATTGAACTTGACCAGATGTTAGTGGCGGCAGATGGCTGGACGCGGAGATGCAAATATAGAGAGTCAAACCTGACCAGAATTTAGAGTAGCATGGAGGCTGGCTGGCTGGCGGCGGAGGGCAGTGGGTGCAGAGGCAGAATGCTCCTGGGGCTTTTCCTGTGGCTTTCAGATGGTTATGTGTAGCTTCAGGCGTGGCCTAAGATAGGGTGTGTGGCTAGCAGAGGTTGGAACTTGGGGCAGCAATGAAGGCCTATTTAGGAAGGGGGTTGGCTATGAAGGCCAGTTATAGATTAGGGTTTTGTTTTGTTTTTCTTTTAATTTTTATTTCTGTTCCGGCAATGAAGGCCGGTTTAAGTTATTTTTCCTATAGTTTTGATACCATGCAAGAGAATAAAATATGTTTATTGTTGAATAACTTAACTCTATATATACAGAACTTTTAGGTACAATAAACGGAAAACTTAAATAATTAATTACATAGCCGTATTTTTACTAATATACTCTTCTGCACAATAATTACAAATATACACTTTGTAACATTATTATTTATAATATAACTAAGAATACATATAACTAAGATTTACTACATTTTGGAGTGTTTTTTCCCGAGCCCTTAACCCATTTAATTCCCTCTCCCTCCCCAAATGAAAAATCCGGGCTTCCACTAGAAAACCTTTTAGAAAGTTGCTCGTATTCTAATTCCTCTTAAAGAGGAAACTAAATCTAATTGACAGAGGACTAAATAAAGTTATAATAGAAGCTAAATTCGTAGTAGTAAAATACGTAAAACAATCAATTAGAAAACTAAATGTAATCCTTAACCATGTGAACATGTTCTATTACGAAAGTCATATAATTACTGCAGGCCTTTTTTAAATGAAAATTCTGATTTAGCTTCTTGTTTTCCACCATTTTTATTCATAGATATTGGCTAGTCATATGGGAGCAAAAATATATTTGAATTCTGATTACTTCAGAAAGTATGTTGGTGGTTGATTATGCTTTTCGAATGCTATCTTATTCAATACCTACACTGTGAATTTTCGTTTTGTTTCATCCTTCTGCCTGGCTCCAGTCTGGAAACATGTCTTTGTTTGTTCTTAGGAGTAAGCAGTTTGCGGTAGTCGAAAACCCTGGCTTTTGGAATTGGACATTTACTTTGAAGGATATTGATGGGGAGGTGCTGGCTGAAATAGATCGTGATTGGAGGGGTTTTGGCTTTGAGGTTAGATCCTCTCACTTAACTACTAATGTTGTTTCTCTGTTGATAAATGTTTCTTTTGCTCTTCTTATTATTAAAGCAAAGAAATATAACTTAGATATTTATAGAGGTGCTTTTGATAAGAATAATAAGGTGCATTGGTTATATGGAGAAAGGCAAATATGCTCCTATTCTCTCACATTCTTCGCTAGTTGAATGGAAGTATACTCTTACCTTGTACAAATAAATTAAAGCAAGTAAAAGTTTAATAGGAAATAAAACTGGTAACATGATGAGTTTGGTAAACCACGATTCATAACGAGCTCAACCAATAACATGCAACGAGTTCAATGAATAAAGATTTGAACAGTAGCTCAATCAAATAACTGTTTCATTTGGTAGTGCTGTAGAAAAAAACCATTTTTTCTTAAAGATTTTATTTTTAGTTAGTAGTTAAGAACATGCTGTCATCAAAAGTAATTACAGTTTTTGGTAATTTATTTTTTATAAAATATTCATAAGATCCTACAAAAATATATATATGTTTAGTGATAATACATTTAAAAATATTAGATAGATAGCTGCACTATTTTGGCTCCATCTTTGTGGGACACAACTTACATACCCTTGATGATTTAGGAGCAATTATTGATATGCTCGTTGACATGTAAATATAGTTTGTACTTGGGCAGCTCCTTCTTGGAGCCTTTTATCAATATACTTCTCTTTTATCTAAAAAAAAATACATTTAAAAATATTATGGGAATACATGTAGTTGTATTATGATTAACTGTTCTTCACTTGAGGGAATGAAGAAAAGCATAACGAGTTAGCACAATTTCTAGAAATGGTTTTGAGGAATCCAGTCTCTTCAAAAAGATGATAGGACAAATGAAGAGAAAACAAAATGAAAAATGCAGTACAATTAAAAAATAAATAAAGAACAGATACCCCAGCCACAAGAACCTGAGTAGACAATTAAAAGAACCAAAATCAACAGTAGAAGCAGAACCAGACCCACTTCAACTTGGCATCCTTTGACTAATGGAAAGCCTAATTTTTCCAAGTCTGTTGACATAAACCAAAAAGAGCCAAAGAAAGGAATGTATTAGAAAAAGCAAAAGAAAAAAAAAAGAAAGAAAGAAGTGATGTTTTTTGCTAATAAGAGTAGTTATGTTATTTAACATGCACTTATTTATATTTTTAACATTTGGAATCAACAAAGGGTGGGTTTTTGTGTAATAATTTGGAAATGGTTGGTTTTTGTTTAACTTCTAAAAACGGTGGGGATTTTGTGTTTCCTGAAACTCTCATGAAGGCTTTTGTAATCTGTTCGTATATATGTTTCATATTAATTTTCAGGAAAGATTATGAATATATTTTAGTAAGTTACAACTTATAGTTCTGTGCTTCAAAATGAAGCAAGTTATGTTGCTTAGAGAAAGCAACCAATATATCATTTACTTCAACAAACAAGAGGATCTTGTCATGAACTTCAACCTCCATCAAGTTATCAACTTGCATAAATCTATGTCCCAAATTGTTTGTTGCTTTTTTCCTGATCTTATATGAAGAAGTTCTGAGATAGTCAAGTTTTGGTTCACTGTTTTCACACATCATATTCAATGAAAAGAATGTCATTTACTGATGTAACAGTGGAAACTATGTTGCTCCCTTTAACCTTCTGCGGCACACTGTTTACTCTTTTTTCGGTAAAGTCGTTTTCTTTGACCTTTTCGTGGAAAAGGATGTTCTGGGTACGAGAAGTTCGCTTCAATTTGTAAATGGATTGTCGCAGCTAACACTTTATTCGCATTTTCTTTAGATGTCTAACCTTTTGACATTTCCATTAACAATGACAATTTTTGCATTTATTACCAAATTTCAAATTTAAAATAAGCAACAATTGCAAGGTGAATACATGGAGCCTTAATGTTTCTTTGCATGTTACACAGATCTTTACTGATGCTGGTCAATATGTAATTCGCTTTGGCAGTTCTGATCCCAGTTCCAGGAGCCATGATGGATCGGTAAAGCACCAGATCCGAAAATAAGATGTGCTTACTTCTTAATGTTTTTCTTTATTCATGTTTAGTCTTTTGTTGCAGATCCAAGAGTTAGAAGTCAAGCGTCCACTTACTCTATCTGAGAGGGTTGTAGCCATAGCTCTTGCTATATCTTTGGATAATGATTACTTCTCCCGTCATGGTGGCTGGTAAGATTTTATTTTTTGATGGATGCTTGTCAACATGTTTTGTTATGCAACCTGTTGTCTTGAATGGCTGATGAATAGCAGCAAAGACTAATAGAAAACTCGTAACATTAGCAATTGTCATTTAACAGAGCACTACATGATAGCAGAAAAGGAAAAACTCATGATGTAAATGTTTTGACTTTTCAAAGAATGGTGCTGATTTTGGTTTTACATTTTTACTTCTTTCAGGGGAATCCCTTTTCATTGCTGTTGATCAATAGGATCAGCCAAGCTTTGGAGGCAATGCAATTCTTTCTCAATTATATGCATTTGTGTTTCATTAGAGATATTCTTTTAACCAAAACATGATTTATACTACAATAATGAGGGATTGGCTTGTCTTGTGAGATCTTATCATTGGTGAAGGCTGCAAGTATTTGAAGGTTGTACAATGGGGGATTTGGTGGCAGTTGTCCTTGCATGTCAGTACCATCAAATAATTGCAAACTTGGTGCATTTGGAATAAGGACTTCCTTCCTTGATAAGTCAAGGCAATTCTGACTATGTTTAAATTATTTTTTTTTTTAAAGAAAATTAATTTTAAAAATAAATAATTATCTTTTTTGGTTGGCACATTTGTGATACATTTTTTTCTTATTTCGGCCATTTGTTTTATTTTTACATCTTAGAAAGAACTAATCTTGATGTGCATCAGGCTACTGATTATTTTCTTTCAATTTTTATCTTTTTTTATTTTTTAATTTTTTTTTTAAAATGAACATTTAAATCATTATTTTAAAACTTTCAAAAGAAATCTAACACAAATTTTTTTTAAAATTTTTTATATTTTTCTCAAAATATAAACCTAAATAAATCTTTAAAGCTTTAAATCTTATTGAAAGAAAATCAAACGAAATATGTATTTTTGAATTTTAAAAAACTTTTATGTATTCTTTAATACGTAATAACCTAAATAAAATCTTAAAATTTTAGATCTCCTAAAAGAAATAACGTCTTTTTTTTTTTGATCTTTTTGAATTTCAACTTTTCTTTTTTTGGAAAATTAATCAAATAAAATCTACCATTTACAAAGTATTTTGCTTCTATACTTTTCTTTATAAAAAAAAAAAAAATACTTTTGAAAGTCTATTTTTGAGTAAATTTTGGCAAAACCTCCTCGGAAGTTCAACCTATTTACTTCCTAATTCTTATAAATCATCAATCCTCAAATCATCAAGCTATAAACACAATCATATAATTATATGAAATTTTCTAATTTCAACCCATTAAATTTATTTAAGATATTGTTAGATATCTTATCCGACGTACAAACTCATAATAAAGCACGTTACAACTTTGTATGTTCATGAAAAAAAAAATTATATAAATATATAAGTTTTAAAACAAATCACAATTAAGTAAAAAAAAAAATGCCTCAAACAACAAAGAAATAATGAATCTTCAAAAATGCAATGACATGTCAAAACTTCAAGAAAAGAAAAAACTGTTTGAATAAACTAATCTCTTAATCCAAGTCTAAAATAAAGCTATTATGTCTTTAGATCCTTAATTCGGAATTTCTTAGTTACTCTCACATTTCTGTGTTAATGTCCAAAATCATATTTTACTTCTTATAATGTACGTCCAACATAAATTTGTTTATGATAATGTCAATATTAATCATCATTGATGCAGTCAAATCACAGATAAATTTGAAGTTTCAGAGCAGATTTATGCATTATCTATATTCTCATTAAAATAATAATAATAATAATATAATAATGCCTCAAAATCTAAATTTGCTTAAAATATAAGCTTGATTTGTAGTTTATATTCCAAATAAATAATTAGGAGTAATATAGTATTTTCAGAAGAATTAAATGATAATAAATCATTTTTAAGGGCTATAAATTATTACTACAATAGTTTCAAGATATCTAAAATGTCAAATTCAAAATTCCAAACAAAATACCAAAGCTTCTTCAAAAGATCAAAGATCAAATTTTAATTTAGAAATAGTTTCTCTTAAATTCCATCTTTCCTATCTTTTCCGTACCACTGACATAAATCTTAAAATATAATTCAGGAATAAAATCTACATTTTCACAAACTTTTTGTCACAATATTATCTATTTTAGCATCTTGAAATCATTCATGAAAAATCTTGAAATCATTCAATCCTCATAGTACAAATCAAAGATTTTTGAGTATTTTGTAAGGTAGACATGTAAACTATAATTTGAAAGAAATAATCAATTAAAAAGCTATCGAAAATTAAAAATTTGGAAGCCAAAGACTATTGCCACGATTTATGTTTTACCAACAGCTCTAAATATATAAAAATTCATAATTATATCGATTCTCATCAAAATCATGTAGATTACAATTACATATTTGTCGATGAAATTTGACTGGTAACATAAAAAATTATATCCACAGAGATACTACAATGCAGTTCACATTATTCTAAAATCCTAAATTTTAAAAATTTATATTCCTTAATCCTCATGCAAATCATAGATTATGAAATGTAGATCATAGTTAAAATAGTTTGATTGCAAAAAATTGGCCAACATTATTGTAGCGCCCGGACCAAGGAGGGGGAAAAAAAAAAAAAGCCACGTCGGCAGCCACGTCAGCAGGCCCGGTCAGCAGTCCCGGCCAACCGGGACCTGCCACGTGGCAAAATCACGTCGTTCCAAAAAGACCCACATTGGCGATCCGCGTGGGCGCGATCGGACGGCCCAGATTTAAACGCACGGACGGCCCAGATTCAATCAGAAACGGACGGCCCAGATTAAAACAAAATGGACGGCTGAGATCAAAAGGCAAGGGGTTATAAATAGAACCCCCACACCAGACCACAAACCCTAGCCGCCTGCCACTCGCCGGAGAAGACGAACCAGAAGCCGGCCGCCGCCACCCGCTGCCGCACCGGAGGAACTTCCGACCACCGATCGAGGTAAATTTCGTACCCCCGACTCGTTTTTCTACGCTGATTCCTCCTGTGGCCAAATCGGAGCCAAAATCTTGGCCAAACGGCCGGAATGCACGACCGAAGCCCAGCGGCGCCGCCGCGCCCTTCTCGGTTTTTGCCTCCGATGAGGCCCTTCCCGGCCTCCGTTTGATGCAATTTTTATATCACCGTGATCACCACTATTTTCTCTACAGGTTGACCGGAGCCGAATCACCAAAACACGAACCTCGCTAGAGAGCCGCCGCACCCGAGAGCGCCGCTGCTGGTAAGCTCCGTTTTTCCGTGATTTTTTGGCCCCCCGAGGGCCCTAGGGTTGTTTTCTCGCAGGGACCGATGCGAGTGTGGCCGAATTCGACCGAAAACGGCCGAAAACAGCCAACCCGAGGCGAATCGCCGTCGCCGGAGCACGGCGGAGCCGCTGTGCCGGAGTTGCGATTTGGGCCGAAAGGGGCCCTGGGCCTAATTTGGGATTTTTTGGAACACGTGCAGGTACCAGTAGTGCGTTTCAGTTCCCCGAGGAAAATTCAGGGAAAATTAGGGA